TGTAATTTTTGAAAAAGTACCAATACAAAAAGAATACATGTAAGAGATCAGCAATCAACAGTGGAAGATTAACTGTGATCTAATGTTTTTTAAAAAATTAGTATGAATTCAGATGTATTGGGGCAGTAGGTAAACTGGGACAGTTAAACTTATCAGCATTTGTCTGGCTTGATAAGTGGAAGTCAAATCTTTCTTTACTGAGCACTTACAATGGAAGTGCCTGAAAGAAATAACATGCCTTAATTCATGTGACATCATATAAGTGGGTGTGGTCAGCATCAAACAGGAAGCTAACCCCAAAAATCTTGGGGTAGATAAAATGATATATGCTTTGACTAGGCTTTCTTTTTTTTCATAAGCTTATATAAATGTCAGGAATAATTTATTATAAATTTTTATGATGCATTTGTGTATAAGATGCACTACTGTAACAGTACTACCTTAAATCTAGGGCTTATAAAGGTTCTTAGGTTGTTCCTCTGGGAGATCCCTTGAAGGTTTTATGTAGGACCCTAAAATAAAGTGCTTATTTATCAGAAAGGGTTTTTAGAATACTCCTGAATACTCAAAATTGTAGTGCTTCTCTAAGTCCAGCTGGACACAAATACGCACTGTAAGAGAAAGCCCCATAAATAGCTTCAGCATCCTATAAAAAGCAAGCAGGAGTTTGATTTGAGTTCCTCTTGTTTGCTCACATTCACTGAATCCAATAATGCTCCATAGTCCCCTATATAGGCGCATTATATAGAGTAGGAAATAATGATTTCCACACCCTACGTAGTGCACAATATGAGGCAACAGAGAGCTGTTTGTGATTCAGCCATTTAAATGACACGGCCATAGAGCAAAGGTCGTTAGTGAGTTGCGGCTGACAGCTGCTCACGCGCTCCACCGCACTCCCGTCCTCTCCCCTCAGCAGCAGGTGCACGTTTCAGGCGCTTCAGCCGAACCTCTCAGACTTCAAACATGGCAGAGGAGAATATATATGAGAAAATAGATGATGAGAACTTGTATGAAAAGCCTTTTGATGAGCCAGATGTCTCTGCTAAGGAGGACCCGAAGTATGAGAACCAAAGCACGTTTGCCTACGACACCCCAGTGACAGACGCGATTTACAGCGAGATTGATGTTCAGGGTAAGGCAGAAAGAAGTTTGTCTCCAGACTACATAAACAGTAATGAAGCAACAGAGGAGGCAGAGGAAATCCCAACTGAAGCCCAGAACGGTGTAAGTTTGTATGAGGTTCCAGCAGGGGAGAATGGAGAAGAAATGTCGTCCAGACGCTCATCCGCATCGTCCGCTGAGCGCTTCAGAGAGCCATGTGATGAAGAGCAGCTACAGGAGGCCACTTATGAAGACAACGCCGAGGATGGGATGATGATGGCTTACTCACTGCCAAAGGGCAGAGCCGTAGACCCGGAGGAAGAAGTGGTGGACTACAGTCTCAAACCTGTGCAAAACAACAATGTTGAAGAAGAAGAGAAACCTATAGATTCCAGTCAGCCTGAAATTGCACTCTTTGTCAAGGTGGGACCAAGACCTTATACATTACGTTAGTATACTCAAGTTGCATACACTCTCAAGAAAAGAGTCGGTTCCTCAAAAGGCTCTTTTGTTTGTTTAATGATTTCAGTTATCTATAAGAGAATATTTTGAATGGGAAACCCTCTATTGTAGAGTTTATGTGCTTGCAAGACATTGAAAACCAGAACAACAGACTTACGAATCTATTAGCGTTAGTATGATCATAAAAGATTTTTTTTGTTTCTGCTTCTAATGTTCAGCAATAGGGGCTATTGTCACCCATAAGGACCTTTCAGCTTTAACTTGCTGACTGAAGGTCATGTAGGTGTGGCTGCATGAAAGTGATAATCATCACTTGGACTTGAGCCATTTAGATTAAGTCCAGAAAAAGACACTTCCTAATTTCTATCAACTATTCTACAGTCCCAAATAGTTTAATTAAGTGGCATGATCTCTACACAGAAAGTACAAATAAACCATATCATGGAATGAAAGGAAATTGTCTTGACTTTGATGCTTCAAGTGATAGTTAATCAGTATTTGGTGTAGAGTGTAGATAAGACACATCCAGAGTACAATGGAAATAGCAAGAAGAATCCCAGTCAATCAGTCAGCTTTCTCAATCATTAACGTCTGCTTTCCTGAAGTCATTTTGTTCCCACCTATGGGTTTCCAACCACTGATTGAGACTGGTTTTGCTCAAAATGACTCAATATGCTGGTCCAGTGTATCAGTGTCTGTTTAGCCCAGAGATGGGTTTTAGACATTGCACCAAATATTGATCAAAATCACACACCCGTTTCTGTATCAGAATTCTGGTCATAGTTTCATCGGGACATAGTGGTGCTGTTTAATCATTCACCAGGTAACTCTACAGTCATGGAAACAAGACTGAACCTGTGTGCGCAAATGAGCCCATGTGTTCTCTTTACTTTTTGATAGAAGGGGCACTATAATCTCAGTACGCAAAGGGGTCACTTTGCTGATTGAGCAACAGTGATTGACAAGAGTTTAGTGTGTGTTTGAAAGGTCTTAGATTAAGTAAAGAACGTGTACCATTTCTAATTTCCACAGAACTTAATAATATTTGCAGCAATTAGAATGTGTTAAAACACTATGTATGCTTGCGTACTTTCAAAGACAACGTAGAGGTATTGGATATATTTAAACGCAACCAACAATGGCTGGGTTTTACAACCTCTTGACATCACCACAGCTTTTTATGATCATCATAGATCACCGTAATAAAAGAAAAGCTATCATGGAAGTGTTCTTCACAGGGAGGGGGTTTTCAGCCATGTTACAAAATAACAGATTGCAAGTAGTCTCATCATTTTGTACTAATTGTGCTTTTGACTTTTGCTCATAATCCTGAAAAATACCCGAAAACAATACCATGATGAATAACTTTAATGGACTTCGAATTAGATTCATATAGCTTCAAATGAAGAATAATTAAGCACTTTCAAGCCAGGCTTCATGGACGGATTAGTTTATTAAGATAAGTTTTATGGGTTTATTGCTGATCAGGAAAACAACAAACAAAAAGCAATTTTTCTTCTTGAATGTGAAGCATACAGTAGGTGTATTATCTAATTTAGGACTTTATCACTGAAAAATGTAATTTTGTTTCTTTACTGTTTCTTTCCCTCTTGACATACTGTCCTAAAGGACTGATATTAGTGTAACACTGTTTTAAACCTCAATATAAGGCTTAAATAACAAAAAGGAAAAACAACTAATTTTTTTCTTGTCCTACTGGAGTTACTGGTGCTTATCTATTCCTTTATAATGTTTACACAGCATGCTGAAACGACCTAATGTTAGTGAAGGTGGTGCTGTTTCATATCACAAATACTAAAGGTAACTATGTGTGTTATTTATATAGACACTGTATATACTGTGTCCATTTTATTAGGAACACCTGTACACCTGTCCAGTTTGGGTGAGCCTGTAGCCATGTTAGCCTCAGATTTCTGTTCTTGGCTGACAGGAGTGGAACCCAATGTGGTCTTCTGCTGTTGTAGCCCATCCACCTCAAGGTTCAATGGTTTGTGCATGCTGAGATGCTTTTCTGCTCAACACGATTGTAAAGAGTGATTATATGAGTTACTACATCCTTCCTGGCAGCTCGAACCAATCTGACAATTTTCCTCTGACTTCTCTATTCAACAAGGTGTTTCCACCCACAGAACTGTCTCTCACTCAGTGTTTTTTTTGTTTTTCACACCATTCTGTGTAAACTATAGAGACTGTTGTGTGTGAAAATCCCAGGAGATCAGCAGTATCTGAAATACTCAAACCAGCCCATCTGATACCAACAACCTTGCCACGGTTAAAGTCACAGAGATCACACTTTTTCCCCGTTCTGATGTTTGACATGAACATTAACTGAAGCTCTTGACCTGTATCTGCATGATATTTGCATTGCGCTGCTGCCACATATATATATATATATATATATATATATATATACGTACGATGCCTAGACACTACATATAGCTATGTTTAATTTTGCTGTCTTTCTTAGCCATCCATTCAGAAATGCACTTGGCCCTGCTATACTATCTAAAATCTAAATCTTTGCTGACTGCTACTACTGATATGTCCAAGGTTTCAGTTAATCAGGCATATCTCATTTAAAAAAAAGTTTAAAGGTTGTTCAGTGGTGCAACTTTCTCAAGTTCATCAAGGTTGAGTGATTTGGCACATATGTGAATGATTTGCAGTAACACAAAGGTTTCATTTCGAATTCATTTTGTGTTTCGGCCTGGAGTGTATTTTAATTTTTCAGTTGTCCCTCAAACTCTTATTCAGTTATGGCTGGTAATTCATATTATTCAGTAACTACTTTGAATTAATCAGTAACTACAGCAAAACTAATAGGAAGGGAATGTAGTTATGTAGAGTGAGGAATCTGAAGTCTGAAACTGCTGACAGTTTTCTTCTCAGAGCCTCCCGGGTCAGAAGCGAAGGTAACATTGTGCCTGAAAAAATGCATCAGCAAATGCTGAAACTAAAATCACAGAAATAGAGAGGTAGAATAATTATTTTGGAAAAAAAAATTAGCATGATTTAACACTTGAACTTGTTTTTAGATTTACATACTAATCATCTGGTATTGTGATGTAGTATCTCTTATATTGTTTGTGATATATTTTGTTAACTAAATACAGCACAAAATGATCTGTTTATTAGTTCAACATTAGCTACTGTTTTCCTTGTAAGAAAGGAATTTCTTATTCTATTTGACTGAACATGTAATCTAATCATCTAATCGGGTCTTATATTGTAATATGAAATTACATGAAGGCCACTGAGATGGGTTCATGCTTTTAAGCTATGAAACAGTCACTACAGTCCACTTACAGTTACAAAAATACAATCAGATAACAGCTAGTTGACATGCAATCTTTTTATAGATATAATCCTAATGTGATAGTTTTAGATAGTGTACATATATGCAGATGTTTGGGTCCCCGGAGGACTGGCGGTTAGGCCGCAACGCTCTCGCCGCTGCGACCCAGGTTCGATTCCCGGCCAAGGAACCGACCCCAGACACTGGGGTTGCGCGCAACAGCGTGATCTCAGTGTTGGTCCCAAGACTGGATAAAAAACTGGGGAGGGTTGCATCAGGAAGGGCATCCGGCATACAAACTGTGGCAAATCAAATACACAGACCAGTGATCTGCTGTGGCCACCCCTAACGGGAGCAGCTGAAAGAGGAACAACAACAAATATGCAGGTGTTTCTTGGCCAGCATAGCTGCGTGTCATTGCATGAGCAGTTCATGTGCAAAAGAAATTGATATTTAGGGCACTATTGTGCCAGTGCAGGTGTAATTTGCTAGCAAACAGACAGTGTGTTTTTTTTTGTTTGGTGCAGGTGTAATTAGCAAAACAACTGTTTCACATTTGCATTGTGTTGTTATTTTTGTGGTCATAAATTAAGATGCTGTGCTGTGGGTGGGAGAGCACAAACGTGGACACTGCATTCAAAATCCACTGCTCCACTGGGACCTTCTAACCCATTTTGGTCTAAAAATGCATGTTACCTCTTCCTGAGCCTCCCTCTTACTACAGATGCAATAACATGTTATTTTCCCTACCTGAAGAGCAGCATTATAAGTCCTGTCCTGGTTTAGTGGATGTTCTCCTCTGATGTGACGCTACTTCACAAATAGGACACTTCGCCCAAATAATAACTACACACAACAGACTTAATTCTCTTTAACCCTAACAAATAACAAGCAACTGTGGCTACTAAAGGCCAATCCACATGATTTCCACCAGCAGTGAGAATCTATGGAGTTCATGTGCATGTAAAACAAGACAGCAAGATGGATTATGGCTGCTTTATGCTTCTGTAACCATGTATTTGTGAGCAAATCAGGGTGTTGTGCACGGATGGTCACATGGGTGTCTGCCTTCATACTTGCATGTAACATGAGTTCTACACTAGGAGGCAGCACTGCATTTGCTCAGTAATAATTTATGGAAAACGGAAAGCAAACAAGTTGAACTCGAGGCCAGTAGCGTCAAAGGGAATGCCTCTGCCACCAGCAAATCTAGTCCTTCTTTTTACTAATTTGCATGCCTGAAATATGCTTAAAATATACTTCATAGAGAAATGAATGAATTGAAGAAAAACTACTTCGGACATTTGACCTTGCTGTGACCATGACCCTGTCTGGATCAATTCCAAAATCTAATATGTTCATTTGCTGGTTACAATGATATTTTCATATAAATCCTACAGACATTCAGACACTTGTTTTTGAGATATTGTGCTGATGAGAATCTCGGACAGATGCACAGATGCTTGAATGGACAGACAACTCGAAAAAATGAATGCTTCTGCCATTGAGAAATCTCAGTGCCAGAAACAAGGGAGGGTTCTGTGTTTTAACATCGGAATTAGGAGTGCAACTCAATTCCACTGTCTGTGTATATAACTGTATTCGTTTAGTGCTCCAAATATTTGTATCTGTTTTCATATTCAGGTTTAAATCAGAAATGAGTATGACCTAGACCAGCAGGTTTTTTTTTTTTTATGTGGATCCTACTATTATGCCCCAGAAACAGTGGAAACCACTGAAAATGGCTGCTGGAACAATGAAGTCATTTTTCATTCGCAAATTATGACAATAAATTGCAGTTTTGTGCGCACACTGAAACTCATATGTTAACCAGACTTTTCTACCGGTACTTTTCCACCAAAGTTCAAGTTCATTAATGTGCAGAGTTTCAGTTTTACTGCCTAAACCACACAGTATTGCGTCAGTATTCTTTCTGTAGTGAAAGCTGTTCCTCCTGTACATTTACAGTATTCTTCAATAGTAAAAAAAATAACAAATAGCAAAATCGTTTTGCTAAAACAGACTAATTAACTGAGGTATCTGAAGTATTCTATATTTATATCTGAAAAGCATTTAACAGCCTTTGAGAGGAAGCATAATCCACAGAACGAGCACAATTAATCTGTCAGGTTTTGTGGATAATTTCATATTTAATATATACACATGTATTTATGTACGGCGTATGTGCAGATATGTTTTGTTTAATTTCACACATTACAAATCACACTAGTCATGTCCTTTTCCTGTAATGAATCACTTTGTGATAGGCGGGGGTTGATGGGTGGAGATCTCAGTGTAGAGAGCACTAGTGTGGAGGTGTAGCACAGCAGTTTGATGAGTTATGACCACTCACCCACTGACTTGGATATGACTGCGGTCCTTTAGTGGAGGAACAGGATTACTGAAATTAACTACTGGCATCTATGAAGTTTCTGGCTGCCCCAGTGTTGATACACTATATGGCCAAAAGTTTGTGGACACCTGACTATCACACCCATATGTGCTTTTCGGACATCCCATTCAAGATTTAGTCCCCCTTTGCTGTCCAACCTTCTGGGAAGGCTTTTCACCAGATTTTGGATAATGACTGTGGGGATTTGTGCTCATTCAGCCACAAGAGCATTAGTGAGGTCAGGTACTGATGTTGAGCAAGAAGACCTGGGGAGCAGTCAGCATTCCATTTCATCTGAAAGGTATTCAGTGGAGTTGAGGTCAGGGCTCTGTGCAGGCCACTCAAGTTCTTCTACTCCAAACTTGGTACACCATGTCTTCATGGATCTCTCTTTTTGCACCGGGGCACTGTCATGCTGGAACAGCTTTAGCCCACTAATTTCAAGTGAAGGGAAATTGTAATGGTACGGCATACAAAGACATTCTAGACAATTGTTTGTTTCCAACTTTGTGACAACAATTTGGGGAAGAACCACATATGGGTCCCCAAACCTTTGGCCATATAGTGTAAGGGCTAAAAAAAAGGAAATGAGGTGTTTGAATACTGGACCATGACAGGAAATGGTACAGAGTGTACTCACCTATTTTAACTCTTTGTTTGTTCAACCATGCATTGTCCAGATTGTTTCCTGGGTTGAACTGGACACTGGGAGGTACAGTGAGAACCTTTTTAGCCCCAGACAGAAAGCATCATTGAGTGCAGTCTCAGGACACAATGGTCAGGACACAAAACTGGAGTGAGCCTTTGCAATAGCAATGAGAGTCCAGGTCATTTAAAAGAAATAGTGTGATTGCAAACTGGTGATTTCTATTAATAATAAGGTGGCTGTGAACAGGAATAGGAACTGGAGGTCATGTGATGAAGTTGCTGGTTGAGGATTATGGGAGTTGCAGACACGGGTGTAACATTTGCTAGTTACAGATAGACGAGAAACATCAGTAACCTGATATACTGTTGGTCCAAAGTGGTGCTGGTATTCAAAAGTGTATATAGTAGAAATTAGAAATGACAGTTAATTAAATTAGTCTGGGATTCACATAAGTATTGCTAGGATATAAATATATTTTTAACTGATCTACATTAACTACCATATAGACTTTTTCCATAAAACCCCGAAGGACTAGTCTGGTGCTAAAACCAAATGCTAAATCATCAAATATTTAAACAGGAATCTTGTTCCCCTGGGCTTCCAAGGCTGATCAGATATAACCTATCGTTGCACGTCAGAGTGCTGCGTGTGTCCAGTTGTATTAAATATTGATGAAGCCAATTCCTCTACTCTTGGTTTCTGGGCCATGACTGAAGGTTGTGTGTTAGAAGGTACCATACGTTGAACAATAAGACTGCATTACTAGCAGTCTGGTACTCCTAGAGCATTCCTAGAACTCCAGGAATAACGTCAGGATAAATTCTCTGGTAATATAATGTAGTGTTCTTTTGGTAGTGATCTTTTAAACCGTTTTATCTATGAAGCCCTTTTGTAATCTGTCATCCACTTAAGAGATGTCTGAGCTTTTCAGAACTTAATCACTATCAAAGCCTGCTTGGTCTCTCGGGATGTGCTCCAGAGATGCTGTTTTCTCCCAGCTGCTGTTGGACCCAGGTGCATGACATGGGGTGAATCAGGTCCAGAGCTCCTCCCCTGGCAAAGCTGCACACCTTTTACCATCGCTCTCTTCTCTGCATTCCTGTTTGTGTGTGAGAGAAGCTGATTATACTTGGTGAAGGGCACAGAAGTTTACTGTAGAACAGCAGTAGCGCTGCTAGGACTGCTTGGACGAAGTGGGAAGATGTAAGCGACAAGTCTTAGGATTGCTCTGTTTTGGACTGAACTCAGATCAAGATAAACTGCCTGTACAATGACCGATCTAATGTCAAAAGGAGGGGGCCGGGAGCCTGATCTCGAATTGTTTGTCAAGGTAAGAGAAGGAAGGGGCATGGAAAAATTAAGTTAGATTGGTAATAAAAAAAAAAGGGTTTACATCCCGGTAATGTTATTCTGTAGTTATTCTGTTACTACATCTATGTAATGCAATAGTTGCTCTACAGTTACAGCAGTACACCTCAATGCGTGAAGAGTCCATTTCAAATTTTTAACTATAGATAGTATTTAGTACTGTTGTATATGTTTAAAAGCCTGTGATATATATTTGCTGATGAGCTCTAATATACTCACGCTGAAGATTAAATCAGGTTTTGGGCTTGTGATGTACCAGCTATAAAAAACTCCTCAGAGAGAGGAGCAGCTGGAGAAGCAAACAATTAATGAGGTGCTGATGCAGAGGAAACAGTCTTTTACTTGCTTACATGGTGGCCTCTGCAAGACACACACACACACACACACACACTTGAAACACCTTTGTTTTCTGCAGAACGTTCATGTTCCCACACGAGTGTTTTAAAGCGAAATGGAGCGTGTCTGACTTTTGCAAACTGTACATTCTCCCAGGTGCATCAAAGGCTCCATGATGTAAAAACTGCACACCTATTTCTGTCCCTCGCGATAGAGCTGTTATTGGCCTCACAGCAAGCCGCAATATGATTTGGTATTCTATATTCTTCTTTTATGTATAGATCTGTGACTACAGCTGCACTTTTCCAGGATGAGAGGATGATTGTATTCATGCTGTCTTGCACAGCTAGTTGAACAACTGGATTTTTCTACTTTGATTCTTTTTGTGTAACAATGTCGGGTTTGTGTTTTCTTTTTTTGATTAAAAATACTACAATGTAATGAC